GTTAGGCCCCGATCACACTGAATGCGTTTATTGGGCCTGAAAATGTGAGGCGCACTGCACTGCCTTTTTTACTATACATCTCTGGGTAACCCGCGACCAAAAGTTTCTCCTCCATCATCGCAGTTTCTGGCCTTTCTTAGCCACGGTAAACTTTTGTCACCACAACGGAAGGCCTGCCTCTCCATTCATTCGATTGGACAATGGAAAAAAACGTGAATGATGTTGGGTGCTTTTCCGCTCAGAGTTGCTTTTTTTTTCAACTTCAGGTGCTCAGAGCGTTCCTCCAAAAGCGTGAGGCGCAGCAGGCGGCAAAACGCGAGGTGCCTGGGGCCCATAAAAAGCGCGCAAAATGCTCACTGCCAACAGAAAATTCAAAAAAGGCGCCTCACTGCAAAAAAACGCGTTCTGTGTGATTAGGGTGTAATCACACTAGGCGTTTTGAATCGTGCCCGAGCACGTTTGACCCCCAAAGCCCGGTTCGTTTGACTAGTGTGAGCACTCCATGCCACACTCGGGCGCGGTTCGTTTAGCCGGCCCTGGCCCAGTTAGAAGAGGTGGGCCAGGGTATGGTTCGGTTGGGCTCGGGCGCGGTACGCATGCAGTGTGAGCGCTAACCGCGCCGGAGCACAGAACAGATACTATTTTGTGTGCGCTACTGTCATCATTACGACCGCAAACATATTCTGTTACTACACTACACTTTTCAATTAATTTAATTTAATCAAGTATATTTAGGTTTATAATGGCTCTGGTTCTTACCTTATTGATGAACAGGAAATGTAGTTTGCGAGTAAAGCTGCAAATTATTTCATTAACATCAGCTGCCTCCGTAATTTTCTGATACATACAAGTGAAAATCAATGCATGGCATAAATTATAAATTAATTATTATTAATTATTCGGCAGAATATTAGTGAAAGTGGTTTTCTCTGTTATCTCATACATGACGTAAGCATGCTCCGGCCCTGAATGTTTAGTGTAAGTGTGAGTGCAGGCCAGCGGGGGAGGGCGATAATCGCACTCGGGCTCGGTTCAAGGCAACCGTGCCTAGTGTGAGTACACCCTTAATTTCATTTTAATTGCAATTCTGCATCCTGTTTTCTACCTCATTTTAAATTCAGGAATTAAGCTGTAATTTAAAAGGCATTCTCAGTTCATTTCTGAACGGCACACAGCCCTGATTGATAGCATGTGTGATATTCTCA